ATTGGCTTAGCCCACAGAGTTTATATGCATTCTCACTTGCTAAAGCAAACAGGCTTCTCTCCTTCCCCAGTTCTCTCATATTATTTCCCCTGGTCATTAGCAATCCCTTTATTTGAGGATCTCTACCACTGCCCATTAATGGGTCTTGAGATGACTTAGGAGTCCAGTCCTTGAGCCATTTATCTGTCCACAGAAGTTACAAGTCCTTCTGTGGGGGGAGAACAGGCTGTAGACTGGGATTTCTCTCCTTGTCCTTCCTCCACTTTCTGTTCTCTGGTTTGAGGGTTAGATGCTTTACCTTGAAGATGTCTGCTACTTGGTTAAAGTGGGACTGCTTGGCCTGCTGGCAGCTGCCCCCCAAGCTGCGGGAGACACGGGCAGACTCCACTGGAAAAAAAAAAGGATTGGATTCTTTCAGGCACCTGCTGAAAGCAGAAGTGGCCAGGGACCCAATTCTTTTTTTCTGTGGAGCCTGCTCGCCTCTCCTGCAGCAGGTGGGGGGGGGGGGGGGGGGGGCAGGGGAGCTGACAGCTGGAACGCAACTACATCTGGATGTAGTTTACTTTACAATGATGCAAACCCCAAAACTGGTGCACATATAATATGTGACACCATTAAGCCACACAAATGACATTTTCGTCATGTGTACAGCCTGAGAACCATCATGTGTACAAGCGCCTTAATATATCATGGGACGGGGAATATTCTCCCAATATTTACTAGCCTAAGGATTCTCAGCGTGAGATTTGCAAAAACCAAAGACTGTTATGTGCCCAGTCTGACTTCTGAGGGAACTGGTACTCTAGCTCACATAGGAACTACGACTTGTCTATGAGAAATTTGTACTGGCTTAACCTAAGGTGTAAACAGAAACCTGTTTGGTTAACTGGGTGCAAACCCAAGCATGTGAACCTTGTTTTGGTTTGACTTGTTTTTATCCCCCCTTCCTGTCAGATTGGTGTACTTTGACTTTGTTCCTTATTGATTTCAAATGTCACTCAAACAAAATAATTGTCCATGAAGATGGTTGTACCAGTGCAACCTAATCAGTTTTAAACCTGATTTAAGTTAAAGTGGTACAAATTTCCCCATGCAGACTAGACCTAAGTTTATCAGGTTTGGTGAAGAAAAAAGGCAGTGTTGCAACATCTACAGCAATTTAAAGGAATAAAATAGTTGTGTATTTTATTATATTCTGCATATATTTATGTATATTACCATTCCATTCGATATATTTAGAAATATAACTTATTGCATTTCTCTCGCTTCCATTCCATTTTTTCTTTCATCCATTCTGCTTTTTCTCCTTTTTCTTATAGTAGGTCACTAATGGTGGATCATAGTATCATAGTACTTAGGGTTGGAAGGGACCTAAACAGATCATCAGGTCCGACCCCCTGCCCTGGGCAGGAATGGGAGCAGGGATCATATCACCCCAGACAAATACCAGTCCAGCCCCCTCTTGAAGACCCCCAAGGTAGGGGAGAGTACCACCTCACTTGGGAGCCCATTCCAGATCCTGGCAGCTCTAACTGTAAAGTAATGTCTCCTGATATCCAGCCTGAACCTTCTCTCTAACAAATTGTGGCCATTATTCCTAGTAACCCCATGTAGTGCCTGGGGGAACAGAGCCTCCCCCAATTCCCACTGATGCCTAAAAGTAGAGGTACAGACATGAACAAGCGTATATATGCGCACATTCCTTTCTCTTTCCTTCCCCACAACTTAATCAGGTTCTCCAAGTGTAAAACTTGGGACTCTTGAAAGCATATCCCACACCAAAACCCTTCTAGGGGTAAGAAAAGGGTTCTTGCTCTTTCTTGGTACCCTCACTTCCTAATGAGAAAATGTGAAACCCTGCAGTAAAAAGCAGAACAGACAAATTCAGTAAGTTCCTAATGTTGACACCTGTTTTCTCCCAGTGACATAGAAAAGAATCATAGAAATCATAGAAAAGTTGGGCTGGCAGCTGTCACAACCTAGTGATTTTGGTGCCTCGGCACGATGGAATTTTCCCGCCACATGAGAGCTTCTTGCAAAGCAAAGGGTTTTTGTTGCAACAGAAAAACCCCGGTGCAAGAGAGTTCCCGCCATTTGAATGCAAATTTGTGTCCCGCTATTGGCCAGTTCTAAATTATTCCTACGTGGCGGTTAGTAATTGGCTTGCTAGCCGTTTAAAATTTCGTGCGACTTCCGCCCAAGTCGGAGAACTTTGAGCACGCTGCAGAGTGCCTCTAAAGAAACCTGACTTGCGGCTGAGCTGATTGATAGACTGATCACCTATCGATTCTTCTCCCTGTCGCCGAGCGCAATCCTCGACGTACCCTTTCCCCGCCGGCTTAAATTGTGGACGGATTAACTGGCTTGGGCCTCGCCAGCTGGAACAACTTACATAGTTGTTCAGACGACTGGACCGTCTGCGTCACATCTACAAGCGGCATAAGTAAAGTTTTTGCAACTATTAAACTTTGTCTGCCTCTCCATTCACCAGCCCGCCCAACGAACGGGTAATTTCTAAATCACCTCGAGTTGGCTCTGGCCGTCCGAGACAGCAGCGATGTTCAGGGGTCATCTAGTCCAAACCCCTGCCTAAGGTGGAATCATCCCATGTCAAACCATCCTATACAATCCATAATCTAAACTCTATATAAGACTGCTATCAACCCTGATACAGCAGACCTAACACCCTAACCTGCCACAGGTAAAGCAGGGGAACAATGACAGCCAACGCCCTGCTTCTGTGAATGATGATGTCAATATATGCTCAAGAGATCCTAGGTAGAGGGCCCCTCCCTCCAACAGACAGAGACAAAAACCCCTACAATCTTACCACCGGGTGAAATTCCTTCCTGCCCCCAAATCTTGTGACTGGTCTGACCCTAAGCGTAGGGGCAAAACTCTCTAGCCAGGGACCGTTCGTCCCAGCAGGAGCACTGGCACACCTCAGTCAATTTCCCCGGCCTTCTTTTTACCTCTCCCCCTGCAGATACTTTCCATCTACCTCTTACCTGCCTGTCTTATACATGGACCTAATCTATGCTATCGAGTCTTGCTGGCAGAACTCCTGCATACACAAGGTTCCTCAGTAGCAGCAGAAACCTCTACTTCTGCTGCGTAGATCTTCCTGCACGCTCTGCTGGTGTTGTTCACCTTTTCAACCCATGACTCCTATCCATGCCCATTTCCCCTAGCTCTGCTGTTTCCTCTGGTTTCCCCCAGTGAAGGGCCATTGCCACCTGATTTTCACCAGACTAACACCTTCTTCTCCTCTCACTCTTCCTACACCTCAGACATCTCCTTCATCCAGCCAAGGTTTCTCCAGCCTACTTCATCCTCCCAGGCCCATCGACTCTGTGAAAACTCCCCAGCTTAGATGCCTCCTCTTCCCAGTGAGGAAATTTTAGGATCACTAGGAAAAACTTCACAGTCAGGGTGTCCAGACTGTGGAATAAGCTCCCTCCAGAGGTGGTGCGATCACCTACCCTGGAAATCTTCAAGAGGAGACTAGACAGTCACCTTGCTGGGGTCACCTGACCCCCAGTTACCTTTCCTGCTTGGGGCAGGACCTGATGATCTTCCAAGATCCCTTCAATCTAAGAAAATCTGCCCTCCCCTGCACCACAGCCCCTGCTCCACCCCACCCCACCCCACCCAAAGGAGGTCATCCCCTTCTCAGCTCAAGGCCCTGTGTGTCCAGAGGCGAGTCCAGGCTCCTCATCCTCAGCATGGCAAGGACCTGCCTACACAAAGAGGCCTTCTGGGGCTACCATGCTGTGGATAACCAGCATCGAGAACACAGCCCTTTGCTCCTCCTGCCGTGTGTGAGAAAGCGTGTGTGTGAGCATGTGTGACGGTGTGAGAGTGCATGTGCATGACTGTGAGAGCATGTGAGCCTGTGTGACAGCCAGTGTGCATGTAAGCATGTGTTACAGTGAAAGCATGAGAGGGCATGTGTGTGTGGCCACAACAGTTGAGTGTGTGCGTGTGCGTGACTGACAGCATGATTGTGCATGTGACTGTATGGGAAAGCGTGTGACAGTGTGCATGAGTGTGAGTACGTATTTGTGACAGTGTGGGAATGTACAAGTGTGCCCGCACTGCAGCCCAGCCCACTTCAGCGCCGCTGCTCCCGCGAGCAAGTGCCCGTGCAGCCCGCGCGCACGTGCCCGTGCAGCCCGCGCCACTGCAGACTGGGCGTGAAGCGGGTCTCCCCTGCCCCTCCCGCTCCCAGCGGCCTACAGCACCCTCCCAGCGCCCGCCAAGTTATACCACCACGTGACAGCCGGGCCAAAGGGGGGGGGGGACTGCGAGGGAACACCAGCAGTTACCAAGGCGACCAAGCCCCGCCTTCACCCCATTCCCTCCCTTGTACGTCAGCGCGGTCTGCCCTCCCCTCCTAGCATAGACCGAGTCAGGGGCGGGGCCCTGGGCGGTGTGATTGACAGTCTCCATAGCAACAGGCTCGTCCCGTCGCCATTTTGTCAGTTGGTTTTTTTTTTTTTTTTTTTTTTTTTTTTTTTTTTACATCCTTCCCCTTTCCCCCCCCCACCCCCCGTTC